TAGCCATAATCTTATATACAGCATCTAAATGAGGTTTTCCTTCCACACCACCCAGAAAAGAGAGAGACAAAGCAAGAAGAGTCCAACTTTTGCTAGTCTTAAAACAAAGTTGATCTTTTCAGCATTCTGGCTATTGCTGAGCTGGTTACCAGTTGTCTGTACTACCTCTGGGTTGCCTTCTCACCCTCCTCCCCATATTCCTTTTGAGTTTACAGCAGCCACCAAGCGTCAATGAGATACAGCTTACTGACACTATGCTTTCTTAAGCAAGAGTTTGTTTGGCTGACTAGGCTAGTATTGTTGTGGTCATGTCAGTCCCAGAATATTAGAGAGACAAGGTGGGTGAGGCAATATCTTTTATTGGACCAACTTCTGATGGTGAGACACACAAGACTAGTATTGTCAGCCAAGTTTACAATCCAAAGAGACACCCAGTTAGCTAATTAGATGTGTCCTCAAGACGACAGGCCGCTGTAGCGGTAAGTCATTGGTGAGTGCAGGCCTATCAAATGTGGAACAAGAATCCCATGTCTCCTGTACTAGAGTTTTCTTACAGCTATATTTCTTTAGACTAGTTTCTTGCATGCCTTCTTTTTAAACTGATTTAACTAGGTTTTTCTTCACTACACAGGAGTCCTGTTATTTCAGAGTAGTTGACTTTATAATTGGGTATATTCTCATTTTGTACAAGGAGATCAGAAGTGGGAATTCAGAGAAACATTCTCTTGAAGTTCCTAAAGTGGACAGTAGTGAGACAGTGGCTTCTGGAAGAGGCAAGTATTTCACTCTACAAGTCTTGTCAATCTTGTTGCAGATTCCATGTTTCAATGCAGAGCTATTACTTTCAGGGAATAGCTGCTTTGGAATAAAGTCTACCCTACAGTAATTTTTTCAATTAAATATACTTTGATGCAAGTTGTTAAATATTGCACTTTGAATTTATCTGACCAGATTAGTTAAGTGTAAAAGCTACACGTTTTCCTTAGTAGGCCCTCACATGAGTTCAGTGGAGGTACCCTGGCAACATCCACTTTTTTTTTTAATACCATTCCACATAAAGTTAAACTAAAATTTGACATACAAGTCTACAATTACATTGCAGAGTAAAACACCAAGTTGAGACCTCAATCTCAAGGCATAATGGATCATGTCCTCAGTACCTGACAATATTTGAAGGTGCCACATAAATCCTGCTGCACTGATGTGCACTAAATTTTACCAAAGTGACTTAGGAGCACAAATATTTACAATGGGACTTAAGTAAAACTGAAAGTTGTACTTCAGTACTTTCACTAACAATTTTTTTCCCTCTGCACTAATTATTTTACAGGCAATGCTTTCCTTCTGTTGTGCACATGCAGAGAAGTTCACAGCTGTCTTTTTAAAGTTATATTATCAGCTAATGCAGTACACTTCTACTAAAAAAGTGGTTAACAGACTAATGCACTTGTTTAGTTTAGTCTAATCAGGCCAACTGCATTGCCATGCGAGTTAACTGAAGTGCACTGCCTCTGATCAAAAGGGGTTATGGCCAAAACTAGATAAAGTCCAAGTTGGAGGCATGCCAGTCTATTGTTTACACCAAGACAAGCCATTTACATTTAGCCCATTGCGACTTTGAACACGTGTCATGAAGATACAAAATGAGGGCACTTGGATCCAAATATCAAGCTTGACCAGGTAAGGAGCAGCACCAATGGCTCAGGCAGTGTAAGAAGCGGTTTATAGAAATACAGTAGGTCTAATTTATTCCACCCAGGAGACATCAGTGGTGCATAATGCAGCACGTTGCTATGTAAAGCTACTGTGTAAAATATCCTGAAAGCATTTTAGAGCAACAGGTCATGTCACAGATTGGCCCAACGATAATCAACCACCTTAAGGTGCAAGATTCAACTCACTTTTTCCCTTAGTCTCATGATTAATCTCAAGAGAGGAGCTTCAGTTAACTATAAAGGCAGTAAGAGAGCTGTGATGCTGTAAAAGCGAGAAAGAGCCTTCTGTGTATAAAGGAAATCCAAGCCCATGAATTTTTGCCTTCCAAGGTCTACAAACAGCTGCAGTGCCTCTGCTATAGCAATTCAGAAGCCTGTGGGCTGCAGCACAATGGACATCATACAAATTCCCTACTGTTAGGCAAAGTTGTGAGCACTAGTATTAGGAAGACCAATTTAAAAAAAAAAAAGTCCACTTACTCAACATCCTCACTATCTGTTCCCCTCCCACAGCCACGTACCTCTACTGCAAGGGAGAAGAAACAAAGCTTCTCCAGTCTAGCTATTGGTGAGGAATTTGACAACTACTATCCTAGCACTCCTGCTCAAGGAATAAATCCCAGCACCCAACTTTTTTTTTTCCTTCCAGGTGGATTTGGCAGCAGGGTTTGGTTTCTTCATTAGAGCATTGCCCCCTACCTTACCAATATCCACTCCACACTATAAAGTCATATTTGTAACTAGTGGGTTCAGTTCTCCCGCTAGTAGTTTTTGGTGGTTTTAAGGCTTGGATTTATTGTAGCAAAGCAGCTCTTTCATGCTACAGGAATACTGGATGTTTACTTCTACCAGAGAAGATTTGGCCGATTAGAATATTTTACTGGAACTGTTCCACTACCCGGTTTACAAAATTAACGTAATCCCTATCCCCCATCCAGATTCCTATAATGAAGGTGTTTTGTTGGGTTTGATTTTCAATCCATGTTTACTATACTGTCATAAGATATCCAGAGTGCTGAGCACATTAGAAATAAAGGATATAAATGCTTAGCCTGCATTTTAAGACATTCACCTGAGCCTGGTACAGTTATTAACTATAAATGTATAAGCTATTTTAGAAGATTACCCAACATCTCAGAGGCTAAATCAGAGTAATTCCATTCTATCTTGTATGTGTACAGAAGGTAGAAACTAGAGTCATACTCAAGATTGGATTTTATTCTCTGGTGCAAAGCAGAGATCATGCCTTAGCGCAAATGCCAGTCCTGTGTTTGTACAGAGAAGCAGTCTCAAGGTACGTACATGAATCTGATCTTAGAACATTCCACTAAAAGCTGCATTCATGCAGCGAAATCATTCCCTTTAGAATCAGCTACATTCACCCTATGTAAGGGGCCAACGCCAGACACCTTTTATCTTAGAAATGTAAGCCGTTTGACCTGCAAGGAATAGGGATAGGAGGAAGGCTGCAATCCTCAGTAAGTAGACTCCTAAAGAGATACATTGTGTGAGGCAATATATTTTATTGGACCAACCTCTGTAGGTGAGACAAGTTCCTCTCTTTAGTATCCTGGGGACAACAGGGCTACAACTACATGGCATAAATAGAATCTCAACATTCTAGTAGAGAAGACACCATGGTTAAGTTGCATCCAATGAAGTGAGCTGTAGCTCACGAAAGCTTATGCGCAAATAAATTTGTTAGTCTCTAAGGGGCCACAAGTCCACCTTTTCTTTTTGCGAATACAGACTATTCCGAAACCATGGTTAAGAAGAATGCAGATTTTTTTTTTAAGCATACAAAGTCTTTAACGGGGACCACTGGGCAGTTAAACCAAGTAGCTGGGTCCACCTCAGGCCTGATTTTCAGAGGTGCTGATCACCCACAAAAGCAAATGGGAGTAGTGAGAGTTCAGCATCTCAGCAGGTTGCGTGCTTGGTGTCACGCCTGGCACGCAGGAGTAAGGGAGTGGGGGGAGAGGAGACACGTCTTAGGCTAGTGCAGAGGGGCACAGTAGGAGCAGGGCTGGGAAGTGCCTAGGTCCCAGTGGGGGAGATCGAGAGGAAGCCAAGCTATGGGGAGTTTAGGTCTTTCAGTCTCCCCAGGCAGGGCCAGCTACCTCCACGCCCTCTCCTCACTCCTCCGCCCCCCAGCCACCGCCGGAGCTATAGCAGCTGCCACGGCTCCCAGAGGGCGCGCGCAGCTAATCTCTATGCAAACAAGCAGCGCTGCCCAGCGGCCGCTTATCACCATGCGCCCGGCTCCCGGATGCCGCTAGGGACAGGGCAGGGGGAGGACACAGCGCAGGGCCCCCGAGCGCGGGCCGTGCCCTGCGGCGCCAGGGGAGGGGCTGCCGCGGCCACGCCCGCCGCGCCCAGAGGCGGGAGGGTTCTGGGGCTGGGGAAGCGCAGGGGCCGGGGCGCTGCAGTCAGGCTGCTCCTCTCTCCCCTGTCCCGCTGCTCCGGGGGCCGGCGAACGGGCAGCCCCGCCCCGCCAGCGGCCCCAGGCACCGCCGCCCCCAGCGGCTCCCGTCCCCACGGGGCCGGGGCAGACAGCGGTCGCCCGGCCGGGAAAGCCCCCCGTACCTTGCTCGCTGCTGGGGTCCATGCTCGCAGCCAGCGCCCTCCGGAAACAGCCCGCCGCCGCCTTGCTCCCGTGCAGCCCCGGCTCAGTCACCACCCCCCGGCGTCAGGCTCGGCAGCGTGAGCGCCGCCTGGGCTTCATATAGGGCGGGCTCCCGGCCACGTCAGCCCGCCGCCAGCCACCTGACCGGAGCTGCCCTGCGGCTGGGGCAGCTGCAAGGTGCTAGCAGGTGAGGGGCGGCGCCCCTGGCTGGGGGGCAGAGCCGTGAGCCCCGCGCTGCTCCGCCTCTGGGATTCTCCGCTCGAGCCGGGCAGGTGCTGGGAGAGAGGCAGGGTGATTGGCAGCCCCGGCGGCGCCCCTCTCCGGCCTTCTTGGAAACGAACCAGCCCGGACACGAGCGGCCCCCTCAGCTACCAGGCTTTCAGACGTCATGGATCAGGCCCCACGAAATCGCAAGCGTCACTTCAAAGAGTAGTCGATTTAAAAATAATAACCAGGGGGTTCTTTTATACTTGCCTGCTGGTTTATGTGTCTTTGGGATTCCTGTTTTCAAGCTTTTTCTCTGAAACCCAGCGGGCTGGCAATGTCCTTTTTGAAAGGAAAGGCAAAATTATCACATCATCCTCAAATGGCTCCAGGAGCTGGGTCTTTAAGATGCCATAAAATGCCAAATATCCTGAGACTTGTGATAAAGTCATGAGAGGCTAGAGCATTCTCTCTACCTTTATGATGATGATCATAATGGTAAAACTAAAGATATTTCATTTACTCTTCAAATAAAGATTACTTTTCCTGGGTGAGTGCACCAGTAAAATTTTGCAAAACAGGTCTAACCTAATCTGAGCATCTAGGCATTTATAAATTATACCACATAATGACTGTGGTATCTATCTATTTCCAAATCCAGTGCTGCAACCACTGAATAACTTTACACACATGAGCAATCTGAATTATTTAAAATGAGACACTCATATGCCTAAAGTTATTTAGATGCATAGGTGTTTTGCAGAATTGGGCCTGAAGTTCATACACCGCAATCAGTGTAGCTGGGATTTTTACACTGCACTCTTCTCCATGGTAACTATTATGCTATTTCATACTGTGCCTCAGTTTCCTATACATAAATATCTGTTTGTTTATTCAGATCTTTACATATTAATCAATCACCATTGTGTCTGGAGCTAACAGTATTCACTACCTTCTGTAAATATTTTCTTGTCAACTGTCTAAATGGGCCATCTTGATTATCACTACAAAATTTTTTTTCTCCTGCTGATAATAGCTCATCTTAACTAATTAGCCTCTCACAGTTGGTATGGCAACTTCCAGCTTATCTGTATGTATATATATTCTTACTATATGTTCCATTCTGTGTATCTGATAAAGTGGGCTGTAGCCCACGAAAGCTTATGGTCTAATAAATAAAAGAAAAGGAGTACTTTTGGCACCTTAGAGACTAACAAATGTGTTCTTTTTGCAGATACAGACTAACACGGCTGCTACTCTAAAACCTACCTTCTGTAAAGTGGTTCTGGACCCTGGAATAAAAGTTGCTTAATAATTGCAACTTGATATTTTATTTATTCACAGAACTGATACAAAAAGAAAAGGAGTACTTGTGGCACCTTAGAGACTAACCAATTTATTTGAGCATGAGCTTTCGTGAGCTACAGCTCACTTCATCGATGAAGTGAGCTGTAGCTCACGAAAGCTCATGCTCAAATAAATTGGTTAGTCTCTAAGGTGCCACAAGTACTCCTTTTCTTTTTGCGAATACAGACTAACACAGCTGTTACTCTGAGAACTGATACAGTAATCACTTTACACAAACTGGTTTAAAGAAGCCTATGGTAGGCAGTTAAGAACTGAATATTCGTAACACTAATTTATGATATGTCTATACCCTGTTGTGACTGCTCAGGCTATTTGTTTTTTCTATTTATCTATTATATTTTTGCTTGTAAACAATAGGCATATTTACAACTTGCACTGTGTTACTGAAACTAAATTATATTCTTATTTTAGCCTCAGGGGTGTCCCCTTGAAAGTTGCCAACAGTTAAAGCAACCCAGTGCATTTAGCAGACCATCAGTTCAAAAGCACTGTTGCTGCATTAAAGAGAATGAGAGAGACAAGGCGACTGAGGTAATATCTTTTATTGAACCGGCTTCTGTTGGTGAGAGAGACAAGCTTTTGAGCTATACAGAGCTTTTCCTCAGGTCTGGGAAATGTACTTGGTGTGTCACAGCTAAGTAGACAGAACTTGGTCCAATAATAGATATTACCTCACCCACCTTGTCTCTAATGTCCTGGGAATGACATGGCTACAACAACACTGCATACAACAATTAAAGAGAACTAATAGTTTAAAAAACAGGGCACTGGTTGAACCTGAAACATCATATATATAGTCTGAGCTTTTTCTCCTAAAATAACTTTAAATGCTGAAAAATTATAATTGTGGAGTCTGCCATAAAAGCAAACCATTTTGAGAGAGTATCTCAATAAAGAATATTAGATTGATGGATACACTTCTTCCCCCACTCCCTTCTGTTCCCCTGATCCTGTTATCTATGGCTTTGTTTGCTCAAAAAGAGCAGTGTTTGCACAAAATGAGTGTCCGGCAGACACAGCGTGGGGCTTTGTGAATACCCAAATTGTCATGAACATTTGGCACACTGTCACATGCCAAAGAGGATCACAATAGAGGGCTGTGAGGTACCAATTTAGGATGCCTAGACAATGAGGAAAAACAACGTAAACCTCAGGTATTCTATGAAATCTGGGACAGCTTCTGTTAGAGGACTATTTATTTGCATTCTAGCATATACACAGCTTCAGAACGAAGTGATTGTGAAGATGCCATAACAATATAGCAAGCAGATAAAACAAGGTAATGGGTATATTCTCATCTTGGTGCGCAGGAATCAGTTTAGCTAGGCATGCAACACCCTGTGCAGTGAGATGAGTCTACGTATTTCACAGTAATGTTTTTTGATTATGGTAGCGATTGAACACAAAATTGAACACAGATACCTATTTGAAATTGATACATCTCTGATATTAAAAGACATAAATAATTGAGAGAGAAATATATTTTAAAATACGGCACTTGAAATCGTACGCTTTTCCCCATCTCCCATGAGCAGCTGATGATTTATGACTGATCAGTTCTTAGAAGGTAAGAATATCAGCAGTGTAGAGAATTAAATCCCTTGGGCTCAATTCACTCCACCATTATGCAGCACTTACACGACTGGCACAAGCCCCAATAGCAGAGTGTCAGGGTTGCAGTGGTGCAAAGCAATCACAATCTCAGTTCTTCTTAGGGGTTAGAGAGGCATAGGAGCCAGTATGTCCCCCAGAATGGGTGTGATGACTAGGACGGAGGCATTTCCAGGGCAGTTAGGGAGTTCATTGATTTAGTTCCTCCCCCGACACTCCCACTTCTGAAGCTCCTATGAGTCTCTGGTACCAATGAAAGCTGCCCTGCCCTGCTCTGATGACCCCCAACGAAGAACACTGCTGACAGGCTCCTTGCTTTCACCAGAGAGGAATGCCCTGTTCCATGCAAGGGTATTGTTGGAGTTGATTGATAGTTTTAATGTACACCTCCTAGTGCCAATTTGACCGAATCTAGCCTCTTAACTACAAATGGTTACAAATGAGTCCCCCAAATACACTTAAACTATCTTAACATCCTATTTTGTTTTTCTTCACAGGTATGCAGAGGATGATTCTCTCTGAATGTGTACTTTCTTTTCATCCAGTTATTGCAACCCAGTTATTAAAAGGAAGAACATAACCACAACAGCCTTTCTGTTCCATGAATAATACTGACCTTGGACCTTTTTGTCTGCCTGGATTCCTTTTTCCTTTTGTTCACTTCAGATTGAATGTATTGTGCCTCTTCATTCTTTTGTCACCAAGCGTTCAGCCCCAGTCTTTCTGTAACCATTGACTGAGAACAGTATTTATAATGTTCATGGCTGATACCTGTATCTGTTAGACCATCTTAAAGTCTGTTGCACCTCTGTGTTCAACGTATTTATATTCAGATCCCCACATGCGCCTCACTTCTGTATTCTTCTTCTGGAGAAGAAGCACTGAAAACCCTCAGCATTGCTTTCATGCAAGGTAGCATATTCTGTTTTCATTTGCAGCCTATTGCTGCAAGGTGCTCTGCTAAGTGCTGAGCGTTCTCAACTCTCACTAATTCTATTTTTATTATGATAGTTATACAGTATTACAGTAGTGCCTAAAGGCTCCTGCCGTGACTGGGCTCTGCAAATACATAGTAAAAGACATTACTGTTCAATCTCAGAGTAAAAGACAATTTCTGCTCTGAAGGTCTTACAATCTATAAGACAAGACACAAGTGGGTGAGTGTAACAAAAAATAGGAAGAAAAATGGAAGAGAGGACAAAGGGAACGTGATTAGTTATATACACAGATTGTTTTGAGTCAATTACTTTTTTCATTTATAAGATGTACAGTAGACCCTCAGAACTATGAACACCTCGGGAATGTAGGTTGTTCGTAACTCTGAAATGTTTGTAACTCTCAACAAAGCATTATGGTTGTTTTTTCAAAAGTTTACAACTGAACATTGACCTAATACAGCTTTGAAACTTTACTCTGCAGAAGAAAAATTCTGCTTTCCCTTTATTTTTTGTAGTAGTTTATGTTTAAACACAGTACTGTACCCTATTTGCCTTTTTTTTTCTTTTGGTCTTTGCTGCTGCCTGATTATGTACTTCCAGTTACAAATGAGATGTGTGGTTAACTGGTCAGTTCGTAACTGGTGTTCATAACTCTGAGGTTCTACTGTAAATATAATAATTATCAGAAATCTCTACTGGCTATCTTCTTATCTGTGGAAGCTGAGAATGCTCTGTTCTGGCCGGGACTGGGCCCTTTCCAAGCTGAGTCATTTGTGTTTTGTTGCGGGTTCATAAGTGTAAAATTTAATTTTCATTTAACAAAAATGTACCCTTGGGTTTTTGTGCATACATCCCAGTTTTAGGCTCCACTGTGATCCACAAAACTCTTGCTAAACCTTGTAGGCTCATTCGACACCTCAGTTTTCAGGGTAAAAGTTCCCTAGGTGCCTAAGTTTCTGCCTCTGAGCATGTGCAGTGCTGCCTTCCCCTAGGCATCCAGATACCTAGATCCCAGAACAATTTGTGAACTGAGGGAAGATAGGTGTTCATCCACCTAACTCGTTGGAGCGGAGGCCATCTACCAGGTCAGGTTCCATTCAAAATCTAGCTGCTGGAGGAGGTGGTGGTGCACACCTTATCACTTTTAGCCCTGTGGTTAGAGAACTGCCAAAAGGGGGAAAGTGTGCTCTAACCACTGAAGTATGGGAGAGTCTGATGCAGGATTCCCTCAATCTCTCCTGTTGAAGCTGTTCTGCTGTGGCCAAATAATGAGTGAGTGGTTGAAACGGGCTGGTCCCTGAGTCTCCCACCTTTCTCAAGCCCAGTGACTGTTCTACTGTGGATAAATCTTAAATAGTCATTGGGCCCAGAAGCCAGGGGTGAAAGTAAGCTGGTACGGGCCGGTAAGGCATACCGGTAAAAAGTGGCTACCGATACCAGTCTGTACTCAACTGACATTAAAGCACTGCCGTGACAGCACTTTAACGTTGCTGCCCCTTTCACGCCCCCCTGGGCCATCGACGGGGTGGGGGTGGGGCGGCAAAGGGAGCAGCTGCCCTGGGGCCTCAATTTAAAAGGGCTCGGGGCTCCGGCCACCACTGCTGCTACTGCGGCAGCAGCCAGACCCCGGGCCCTTTAAATTGCCACTGGCGCCCTGGGCAGCGCAGGCCAGGCAACGGATGGGCTGGCTGGGGGAGGCTGACCCGCAGCCCCGCCCCTTCTGCCTGAGGCCCTGCCCCTTCCAGGGCCCAGACCCAGCCCCTGTACCAGTAAGTGTTGAATGTTACTTTCACCCCTGCCAGAAGCAGCCCTAGTCATTTTACCAGTCTCAGTTGAGTACTGACAAATATATAGCTGAGATCAGACTGGCTCACCTTTGTGTTAGTACTATTAAAATAAGTATTAGAATTATAAAAATTGTTTAGTGTTTAGATGTGAATGCCAAGTGAGTTGTTGTGTGCATTAATTTCACTGATAACATCTGTATCCCAATTGTAATATTTGAGGGTTTGCATTGCAAGCTTCTGTAACTGTGTAAATCACCAGACAAGAGAGAGACATGAACTAGTGTGAAATGCTGGTCTCCAACAGAAGGTGTTATGTCCTGCCCGACAAGGAAGGCCCATGAGCACCAGATAGAGAAGAACAGTAAAGAAGAAAAATGTTGTTTACTTTTCCCCTCCATGAAGATGAGCCTTGCAAGTGAATTCATCCCATCAGCTGATTTGCAGCTCAAAGTGCCAGGGGGAAGGGAATAAAACCCCCTAATGAGAAGAAAGTGGACCTCTATGTTGTTTGGACTCTGAGGGGCAAGGTTTTCTAGGCATAGGCAAGAGAACCCAGTGCTGAGCCTGGGTTAGCCCCAACGGACATATAGAGCTTATTAAGGAACCTATAATGTTGAAATTAAAGATTGTAATTCATTTATGTATGTATGTTTACTGGCTTTAACCTTGTAACTAACACTTATTTCCTTTTCCTATGAATAGAACAATATAGTTTATTATAGGGGGTCTCTACAAGCATTGTCTTTGGTTTGAGATCTAAGGTGCAATTGACCTGGGTTAAGTGACTGGTCCTTTTGGACTGGGAGTAACCTGAATATTTCTGTGATTTGTGGTGTAAGGGACCATCTATCACAGAGGCAGGTTTGTCTAGGTGACAAGAGCGGGAAGGGGTCTCACGTCTATGACTCTGTGTTCAGGCTGTTATGGTGCATGAGGAGTTTACACTTGAAAACTGGTTGGTGAAATATAACTCAGAACCAGAACTCACAACCAATTTGGGGATTGTGCCCTGGTTCTTAACAGTCTGACCTAAGGCTGGTACTCATGCTCTTGAGTTGCTGCAGGACAGCTTGACAAAATACTTAAATAGTCATTTGGCCCAGAAGCAACCCTAGTTATTTAATTAGAAAACATTTTTCAGGAATCTTGGTGCTGAGCCAAAAAAAAAAAAAATCCAGTGGTTCTAATCTATGGCAACTATCTCTCCCCATTCATTGTATAGCCTAGGTACCTAATGCAGGACTTGCCAATCACTGTGTTGTTCCTGTGATTCTCTAGGCACCTAAAAGTTGGCTCTTGTGATGCTTAGCATTGCAACGCCTATGTCCTTTTGTGGATCTGGGTCTTGGACCTTTGTTTTGAAATAAGTTTCTCCTAACTCAGATGTGCATCATAGAATACAGATAAGAGCATCTAAGGGATTTAGAAGCCAAAGTCTCATTTTCAGAAAGGACTTGTCTACACACAAAGGGTGCACTATTTTCATTATCCCCGTATAGTCAAAGTGGTGCAACTCAATGGGAGTTAAGCACTGAGGCACTTTTGAAAATCCCACTAGGTGCCAGTTTGCATCTTTAGGCACCTAAATACCATTGAATATTTGGCCCTTAGGCACTTTTGAAAATGAGAGTTAGGCTCCTAAATCACTTAGACACTTTTGAAAAGATACCTGACACCTCTAATCACCTGGACTCTGAAAGATTTGGGGGGCTCCTGCGAGGTGTTTGTCACTTGTACAGCACATACAGAATACCACTAGTATTGTCAAGGATTACTGGAAATAATATTGCAAGGCTTTTGGAAGTTCTATCTGCTCATCACTGGTTTGAACATTATCATTCTGAAGTTTTCTCTAAGCATTACACAGCAGTTGTCCTAAAGTAACTATATACTTATTATTAATAATGAGCCAAATCCTGAAATTCTTACTCAAACAAAACTCCCGTTGAATAACAGGCTTCATGACACCCTGCTTAATGGAGCTTAGCTACAGGAGACAGTCTGGCCCTCTGAATGTAAAATGCTGTCAATTTAGAACTCTCCACTCCCATTTGCAGTAGCATTTTACTCCCACTTTGTACAGCTGTCGGTGACTACATAACGATCAGTAGTGGTGAACTGAGCTGAGGTTTTTAGTTAAGTACTACAGGACAGCCACCACATGGGATGGGATTCTTCCTTCCTGGACTCTGCACTTGTCCTTGTTGAACCCCAACAGATTTATTTTGGCCCAATCCTCCAATTTGTCCAGGTCACCCTGGACGCTATCCCTACCCTCCAGCATATCTACCTCTCCTCCCAGCTTAGTATCATCTGCAAACTTGCTGAGGGTGCAATCCATCCCATCATCCAGATCATTAATAAAGATGTTGAACAAAACCGGCCCCAGGAATATCCATTCAAGAATCACACTACCTATAATTAGGGCTCCGTGTCTGTCACGGAGGTTGCGGAAGTCATGGATTCTGTGACCTCAGTGACTTCTGCAAGGCCCAGTATGGCTGACTCCAGGGCCACCCGAGCAGCTGGCTCTGGGGCCAGCTGCTCAGGTGGCCTACGGGACAGCCACACCAGCCACTGCTCCTGCGGCCGCAGGCAGTTCCTGGCCAGCCGGCCAGAGCAGCCATAGTCTGCAGCCCGAGGCAGCAATCTCCGGCCAGCTGGAGCAGCCGCAGTCTGTTGGCTCAGGCAGCTGGTGCCGCTGGTCCTGGGTGCTCCCCACAGCAGCAGCCCCCCCCATGCCCCTCCAATGCCCCCCCCCCCCAAGATTTGATCACAGTTATTTTTAGTATAAGTCATGGACAAGTCAAGGGCTGTGAAGTTTTGTTCATTGCCCGTGACCTGCCCATTACTTTTCCTAATAATACCTGTGACTAAATCGTAGCCTTACCTATAATGAAACATGTTTGCACAGTTGGAAATTGGTAACAGAAACAAAATGAGATCATGTGCCCAGTCTGTTTCAGTTACATTGTCAAATGAGATTATTTCAAAGCCTGAAATGCTGTACATTTAACACATAATAATTAAACAATCTCCATGTGCTTTCTAAACATTAGGTAACTTTCACTACACTCTTACAGATGGC